GTATATAACAAATATGTTTAACATCCTCATAATAATGTAAAGTTGCACGTGACTGACTCGAAAGTGACTCGAGTCAGTTTATCAAGATTCTCGAGTCCGAGTTCGAGTCCGAGTCACAGAAAAATGTGACTCGGACTCGCCCATCTCTGGAATACGTATACTAATATGTTATCCCTTTTTTCAAGGATTCTTTTTGAACTGCATTTGACCAATTAATCAGCTTTTCAAAAATAGTCGTCAATTCAGAAACTACTTGTTCGCTTTCATCCTAATTGATTTTTAAAGTCGAGAGCGGTGGTAACGAGGATTACGGCGACCATGAAAACAACCATATAATCAGTCATATTATCAGAATTTGATGAATGTTCTCAGTATCATCTACTCGACCGATGTTCACTGTTGAATATCTCTCTTATTCTTGAATCAGACTAATTGAGAGGGTTATCGAATGAGCCTGTAACAAAAAATCTTCGTAATGATAGAAATTGCTTCAAATATCTAGTCTGGTGCAACTCGTTGAACTAATTATTTTTTATGTTTTAGAAACTCTATAATCCGGTAAAGGAAGGTTTGAAATAAACTTCCCAAATTATACCTCTACGCTATATCCTTGAGTACCTCTTGTAAAATTCTTAACTCGATCGGATGAAAGTTAAGGGGATACCATTGTGGTCCAATGAAAAACCGAGTTTTCTGGAAAACTGGTGAACGACAATAGTTAAAAATTTGAAACAAAAACGAAAAAGTGCTCCGTTGAGTTTTCAATCAGTTCTTAAAATATGAAGCCTTAGTGAATTTTAGTTTTTATTTCACAACATTTCTAGGGAAAGCCCAAGATAAGGGGAGGCGTACCCCCTAAGAGATTAAGTTAGTTTTTTTGGCACAGGGACTGTACTATATTTAGATATTGAATTCTTGAAGTATCCATATTGAGTAATATTTATTACTAAGACAATGATATTTTTCTATTGTCTGAGACATGAGATATATTGAAATAGGAAGTCATTGATTCCACCGATTGATTATCCGCAAATTGTGCGCTACTGGTTGCCTCTCTTGTTCTAATAATACCAAGTGATTAATATTGAAATCAAGATTCTAAGTTGTAGCATAAAAAAAATGAGAAGTAATGATGGACGAGAAAAGATCCTGAGTAATAACGGGTAAAAAGCAACTTTCTCTCTCACAAAGGAAATGTCAAATAACATCTCCGTATAGCGAAACACTTTGACGCTGATCCGAAAATGTTTACTTTAGAGATTCCACTATGCAGTAAAGAAATACAAGAAACGAATTGTCGGTGTAGGAGAAAACGGAAATGAGATATTCTAATTTATTGTTATTAGTTTCTTCTTATAATTATGAAAAGTACATATAGCATGGGAGACTGTATGTTACAAAGAATGAAACAATTAATATTATCCATAAAATAAATAAATATTAAATATATTATTATATTTATTATATTATATAAATAAATAGAAATTTTGAGAATAAGCATATGCGTAAACTAAGTTAAAATCAACACAATTTTGGAAATGAAGACGCTAACTAACATTAGACGTTATTAGCGGATATCGAAATTTTTATTCTATTGCTGTAAATTAAATATTAATAAATTTATTTTAGCCTCATCTTTTATGTATTTTTGTATCACATTCGTTGCAAAAATGGCATTTGTCGATAATAAGCGGCATCAACTAATGGTAAATTGATTAATGATCTATTCATGATCAATTCTTCTAAACATTGATAAACTATAGGATCTCTATTAAGACTAAATTTATTAGCAAATAATTCACGTCGATTTGCTAATAAGGCGAGATCAACTGTACTAAGTACACATATACCTGAAAATTGAATCAAAGATAATGAAAAATTGAAATATTAAATAAAATACATACCTCGTACGATGGTCCCATTACAATTTCGATCTCCCCAATTGACAAATCTGGCAGTCCATTTTGTTGGATCGTCTTTTGCTAAAGTAATAATAATAGATCTTAGTTTGCCTTGATAATTTAGTCGATGGAGAGTCTTAACTGCTACCTTTGTATGAGCCAGGTGCATGTATGTGTGTGTTAAAATTCAAACTTGACCAATAGTGTTCATCAGGTGAATAAGTATCACGTGACCACTCAAGTAATTCTTTTGCAATAGAACTTGTTAGAACAAATTCTACAAATTGTCGTGAAAATGCGCCTAAACAAACATCATAGTACGATAAGTAAAATAAGGATGAATGATGGAAAAAAATGTTTACACTAGGTTTTTGGAAATCCTAGATTTCTGAAAAACCTTTTTTTTAAGTAGGATAAAGTTAAGTTAAACTGTTTTGAATAATATATATATACACACGTCGAAGTCAGCGCTATACGAACCTATCCTCAGATTTATTGTGGCTACTAGGGCTCACGAGAAAGGACAAAAACAAGTTTGTCTCTAAACTTTTTTCCCTTACTTTATGACAATAATGTTACTCACCGTACGCTGATCCTTTAACAATTTCGATATGAGATGGTGGTGGTTTTTTCATTCTATCTGTTTTTTTAATTGTTAATTGTTGATCTGTATTTCCCGTAGGAATTGTTTCCCATCTATATTGTGTCCTATGGGGATTTCTTGTCTTCCATCTTCCTTAATTAAAATAAAAAATAATCAATTGATATATTGTCTAGTAAATAACTCTAATTTATACCTTCAATATCGTTAAAACCACGATAAATTTTTAATATTTTAACTAATTCATTATTTGTTTTTAATGGTAATTCGGTATTAGCCATATTTAGCAAATATTTCCAATGTGGATATTTAAATAAATCATTCATACAATTGATATCAGCTTGTAATCGTGAAAATGTTGCATAAACAACTAGAATAATAAAAATAATAGTAATATTAAAATTATTTAAAATGTGTCCATAGTATAGTATTCATACCTTGTTCTCGTTTTGAAACTAATATTACATTATCAAAACATTGAACAATATTTTTTACACCATTGTAAACATCTACAGATGTACCATTATCAACATGAATACAATAATAATTTTGTGGACGATATATCATACGTAATAGACGTTCAAATACTTCAACATGTTCATGCATCAATATTGTAAAAGCAATAGGAAAATTTTTATTTTGTTCATCATTAATATGATAGGGATAATTAAAACGTTGTAATTTATAATTTTTACATTGTTCTTTAGTTATATTATAATATTTATCATCAATTAATTTTAAATATGTTTTATTAGATAATAATGTTAGAGCATGTTTTATTTCATCTTGATCATCTTCATATAACAAAGTACATTGAACAGAATAATATTTTGATTGAAGATATTTAAAATGATGGTCTTGTTGTTTACTATACGTTTCATTTTGTTTTTTAACATATAATTGTAAATTATTTGTCACTTGTCTAGTATTATATTTGATTGAAATAAAAAATAATTGAAGAAAACATAATGTTATGAGAAAAAAGAGACAATTGTTTCTCAATAAACGACGATTAATACTAAATTGCATTTGAAGAAGATGATCATGTCGATGAATACTATAACTATAAAACTTCTTTTATTTTATATTTAAAATAATGTCATGTCATTTATTACAACGGTACTTACTGCATACCAACTAAACGTATTCGAGAAGGAAATGAAAATAAATGATATTTTCACATTTTTTTTTCAAATGTTTGATGCATAATATTGTAGTCTGTGTAAGTATTTTTTGTCGACATTGAAATTTATTTAAAATATGAAGAATTTGTTCACTATTAAATTAAGATTTTATTGTTCAAAAGTGAGAGAATTAATCGACTATATAAGATAATGATATTTTGTCTACAATAATGTCTCTATGTTATAGTCTGATTTTACATGTTTATTTCTTTCTTTCTCTATCTCTTTCTGTTCGTTCAAACATTCAATCTGTTGTAAATCAGATTTAATTACGTTTTTTCTCTTTTTATTCAGTTAAAATGTCTGCGCGTGAATAACCTATTGTTGTTATTATTGATGTCCCCCATATAAAATCAAATTGTCTTTTTTTTTTCTTTTTTCTTCCACACTTGTTGAGAGTGATGTGTACTTTACTCTCTTTTATAAGTAGTATTTTTTATGACCATTTCCTCTGTTATAGATCACATTTTTGATGTTCTAATTTATTAAAATTTTAAATTAGTTCATATTAGTGAAGAATTCAATTGTTTATTCTAAGAATAAAAAATAAGTGTTCACGGACAAAGAAAAATTCTTTCTTTGAAATATAATTACACATTCAAGTACTCAATGAATAGGACCGTATACTTTATTTTTATGTTGTTCGACTATAAATTCATTTGATAACTAATTTCCGTATTTGATATAGAAGTCTGTTTTCAAGTGCATAAAAATTACCTGTTCAACTTTTTTGCCTTTGTTTTAATACTTTCTTTCTTATTGTTTGTGCCCTTTTTTGGATTAGTTGAAAAGTTATTACCTCACACTACAAAAAAAGAAAAACCTGACATGTTACTTAACAGCAGAGGAAAGGAATATTGTTTGTTAGATTCTGTTTCTTCAACACGTATTTACGTCAATGTTCAATAGTTTGCAATAGTAATTTCTTGTCTTTTCATTTTTTATTACAGAAACATTATTACAGTTTCTTTATTACTATCTCTTATTGTCAACCATTTACACCAACAAGTAGTTTTTTTACATGAAACAACATTTTCTTCTATATTAAAGAATTCAGAACTAGACAATCATCACAACTTCTTTTTATTTGTCGTTGATATTTACTGTTTTTTTATGTTTCCTATTATTACCATATTCATATCCTGTACTTCCCACACTGGATAACATTCATATTATATTCATAGAGATTTTAGCTGAATTAAAATAACTCACTGCGAATCATAATTATAGTGAATTTTTTCTATCATTGTATGAGAGTTATTATAATGACGATTTTTGTTTCTATCCGTTTTCACTATTATGAAAAGTTCATCATCACCCCCTTGTTTAACTAATGTCTGTTCACAACACTACTAGCATATCAAAAACGAAGAGAAATAGACAAGACACGCAGATAACAGAGAAATCTGTTCATCATTCTGAAAGCGTACAACGGATTAAAAACCATCGGACAATCTAGTTGAAGTCTTGTCAGAATGAGCATCCAGTGTGGAGATGCTCTAAGATCTCGGGAATTGAGAAATGCAAAGAAATCGAAAAATTTTTCCAAACGAAATCAGTTTTTTCAGATCAGGTTTTTCGGTTCACAGCTATGAAGAATTTAGTTGAACTTTTTTTTATCAAAATTGACTTATCGGTGAAAACGGTTGCCAAATAAGGGATCAAACCATTTTTTTGTTTTTACTCGGCGCCCTTTGACTCGTTAGATGGGTCTGTTAAGATCGAGATGCTACTGTAAACCATATAAATATCCCACAAAAGAATAAAGGAGTCTGTAGCAGAGACCTGACGGATGAAACCTGTCTAAAGATATTTTATTCTGTGAAAAAAATTTAAATAATGGTCTTGCCAAGTGGTTAGTCACACCGTCAGAAACGTAGACATGCTTCCTATCTGGCACAAATATGTATCGAACAAGTGTAAAATTGATTTAAGGGCCCTCCCCTCAGAAATGGTGATTTCGGTCAAAAAATCGGTTTGAGATACGCACATGAAAACATAGCCTGAAGTGTCTACTTCCAGAATCTGTATTGCTTTTGGTTACAAAAGTGGTTTTTCCGGGATTTTGAGCAAGTTTTCTAAGAGCCTCGAAAAAACGGGTCATCAAATAATACTTTTTTCCTGGATACTTGTGCAATTAAAATTTTTCTGAAAATACAGCTTTGTGGAGCAAACGTTTCTGATCAAAATAAGACTTCGCACAACTCTGTATGACCTTGCATCAGAAAGTTACAGGCATTTTCCTAGAGGTCCTGAAATCGACTATTTCATACAGCATTTAACACAGCGTTTTCACTATATAAGAGTTACACCTGAAGTGCGTCCCAAGATTTTTAATAGCGGTTTGTCGTAGAGAGTTCATTCTTTTTTTGTTTAAAAGAGGAAAAGAAACTACATCGACTGACCGACGTCGATTTTTGAATTAGGTCTTAGCTTTTTGTCAAACTGAGGATTTTTAGAAAATCCGGAAGGCTTTTTCGGGTTTCGCAGGTTGTTGGTTGCATGGAAAACCAATAAAGATTTAACTGAAAAATCGGCGTCGGTCAGTCGATGTAGTTAGGTGTCTAGTTTAAAATAAAACAAACCCGAACTCTCCAGCTTGAAGTATATTAAAAAATCTTGGGACGCCGTTCAGGGTCCTTTTTCAACCTTGATCTCTGGAAAACTCCTAAACCGTAAGACTTGGAGACAAAAAAATCTTTTCATTTCAGTAACTCATTGTGCCGAACATTTATTGAAAGTTTCGTCAAGATCGGATGTACGGTGTCGGAGATAATTTCTGAGGGGGGCCCTTAATAGGATTCTTGTGATTTATGGTGTAGTTGGAATAATTTTCTATTGAATCATAAGATTTGTCTGAAAATGACTGGGTATTTCCTTGACTGAAAGAATGTTTCATACAAAATTAGTATCCTACTTTGCACAATGAGAGCTACTCATACGTGTTTAATATTAAAAGGGTGAAATGACAAAAGTCATTTAAAAAATTCAATTTTTTATTTTATTCATCCTTTTCTTCTGCTTGATCTAGCATTTTTCTCTTAGCCTTCTTTTAGCTTTTACATCATTTATTTTTCTGTTGTTTTACTAGATAAGGGCAATGCTCGCTTTTGCTGTTGTATTTTATCTGTCTTTTTATCATTTGTACTTTTTCGATATAAATCTGTTTTCTTGCAAAGAACAAGACAATACAAATACGGTTTTGAGTTAATTTCTGTAAATTTCCAACATGAACATTTGGTCGCGTTTCTCGATGCAGGAACATTCTGATGTATGACCATTTGTTTTTGGAGTGTATTATCGGTATGTACCAGTTGAGAAAGAGGACTATTGTCTTTTGGAGACGGATGGAGTTGTGCTTTTCCATCTTGTTGGTGTAGATGAGACGTTTGAGTCTGGTTTGGTATCACACCATTATCAACTACACTGTTACCTATCTCTGATTCTTCGCTGATCGACTGTTTCTTGTTGGATGCAAGCAATTCACTGTTATCTCGAGCCACATTCGAACTTGTTACTTCGTGGAATGAAAATATTGGACTTGTTCTTCCTCTTTGTGAAAATGCGGCATTGGACTTTTCTCTCGCTGATACCATTGCACTCGATTTTTCTTTGTAAGGAAGTAAGACATTTTGTTTGGACACCGTCGCCGAGTCAGACAACGATTTTCTACTATGTAAACCATTTAGAGTCGCTTCTCTAGACGATGGTAAAGTTGTTGTTGAAATTTGCGACGTGTCAAACACCGTTGCGCTACCTGTTGTTGATCTCGTCGATTTCGATATCACATCTGATACTGTTGTTAATGGTGACTCTCTATCTCCCATGACTGAGACAGTCGATATTGTCCTTGGATTTGAAAGACTGGATACTTCTTTTGAATCAAACGGGTACGATTTTGTTGAACCTGCACCTCGATGATTGATTCTTTTTACTAAATCTATATCTTGAACACACCCACGTTTACTAATACTGCTATTAATTTTATTTGTACCGTCTAGATTACTACTATCCGCTAAATTTTCCTTTGAACTAAAGTGAAAAAACTAAAAACAGAGAGCATAAAATGAAGTTTTTTCTTCTTTTCTATGAGGTTTTGTATAATTTTGATACTGAAGAACAATATCTATTACTTTAGTATTCGGACTACTTCTAGTGTCTGATTGAATGCTGAAATTATCTTTTTGTTTTGATGTTGTTAATTTTGTGTTGAATGAATTACTCGATGCTGATCTAATTTGTTTCCAATTATTATTCTTTCTATGTGATTGTTGTCTCTGCTTAGTAGGAAAATTTTGTTGTTTTGCCACTTCGTCGTAAATTGCTATACTGGCAGCCATTGAATAGATCATTTTTAATCCGTAATAAATTGTACTACTATTTATCATACGTGTATGATTTCTAAAACGATCTATACGCTGTTCGAATGATGTTAAACCAAGAAATGTAATTAAATAAATGAAAAATTTTGCTAAACTATTCATTTTTGATTGACTAGTAAAGTATCGTGCAGAAAAATTGACTAATGGATGTATTAAAAGAATAATTAAACTAATTATGTAGAATCCATTTTTAGTCATAGTTGGACAAATAAAAGTCACAAATAAGAACATTGTTAAAATGGCGGAGTAATAGAGTTGTATGTTTGGTGTAAGTGTAGAGATAAATTGGCCGATTATCGGATAAGAGAGCCAGAAATGATGTAAAAGCATAAAAGCTGAACGACACATTGGCTGAGTAAAACAAGCGACCGAACTGTATCTCTTCAACGAATTGCGGTATAACATGGGTGTTAGCGGTGTTGTACTTATATCGAATTTCGCTTTACTACTCATAGTTGATTTTTCACGTTTTTAATAAAATATTCATCAACTCAGAACAGAGTATTTTATACATATCACTGATTAGTATCTCCTGTGAGACAAGTTTTCGTTATTCAATTGATTAGCTGGGTTAGAACGCTCAAAATTGTTAGAGATTTTCATAGGCGCGAATTCGTGATACGTACTATTGATAATTGTATAACGGTTTGCGCTCTCTCTCGCATTTCTAGCCAGATATCGAACCTGTTATGACTAATAAGGGAATCCACTAACTGATTAAAAGCTTTTGGGCTCATATTTTGCCCGTAAATAGGCTTGATAGGACTAGAAAAACTCAGATAGGCCTAGCTGGTTGAGATACAAACATTTTATGTTTGCGATGAGAAGCATGCGTATGTAGCTCGTTGTGGTTGAATCGTAAGATTGAACCGTTTCAAAAGCCAAAATTGTTACTAAAAATACTCATAATTAGGAATGTTTTACGCATAAGGTACCACTTTTATGAGCCTCTTGAGAGTGAGATGTGCAACTGTTGCATATGTACTGTTGCAAAAATCCTGTCGTTTATTTATCTGGTGAACTAACTTCGGCAGAAAAAGAGCATTAAGTATTAATATTTTAATATGTCAGAATGTTAGGGATATCCTTCCATTCTACATCTACTGCCGAAAGGATATATGTTTCAATCATTTTTTCGTCAATTATCATATCAATTCAATTTATTATTCAATCTTACGATTCAACCGCAACAAGCTACATACGCATGCTTCTCATCACAGTATCTCAACAAACTAGGCTCATGGAGGCAAGTCCTTTTGGAGGTTTTCTAGTCCCACAGAGTCCTACCTAAGTGCAAAATTCGAACCCAGCTTTTAATCAGTTAGTGGGATTTCCCTCGTCAGTGATTTTTGGACAGAACCTTGCTGGTAAGCAGTTTCAAATGCTGTTCCTTTCTCATACGGTATTCGTACCGATAGCTTTTCTACTACATTTCTATCTATATTTGGTTATTGTTTCTTGTCAGCCAAAAGTACATGTCTTACCAGCATATGTTAGTTATTGACAGACAAATATCATGCAAAATAAATAATATATTTGATAAGACAATTCGTCAAAATACTAGTTGAAACCGGACCAACTGAAGAGCTCTATCAGTCGGATCGGTTGCAATTATTGTACACATCAATAAAGCAAAACAATCATAGAGATGAACATTTGAACGAAGGATTCATCGTTGCATGATATATATGTTTTAAATACATCGTTTTGCTCTTGATACATTATTGCTACTCCATCTGTATTCCATTTAATTTATTTGATGTCTAACATTTAAAAAATAATTTAAAATATGAACGGTTTGATATTGTAAGACATATATTTGATTATCAGATCTCCTGACAGATACTTATACTATTATTTACTACTTGACAAATAATCGAAAATTTATGGTGACTGACTTGTGCGTACTTCTTTTCATATCTGATGATGAAATAAAAAATATTAATTATTCATATTTTAATCGTAAAACAATAATTGAAGAAGTCAAAGGAACATATACAGATCGAAATGTACTACTATAAAACAAAGTATAGACTGGAATAATCTTGCGATTAACTACATATTTTGATCCTTGTATGTTTTTTGAACCATCCACCGCACAGACCTTAGAGGCGTCTTATTCTGAAGTGGATTATTTTCTCTATCCAGTGTTGCAGACCAACTCTGCTCTGCGGTGTGTGTCAGTACCATCTGAATTATTTTGAATTATTACTATTAATTCAAAAATATTTGGTGTACCGGTGTGTCATGCCCTAAAGTTTTGAATAATGGTTCTTGTACATCCCAATGAGGACTATCGAATGAAACTGTTTTCAAGCTTATCAGTTCTACAGACTGAAAGAACGAGTGTTTTTAGATTTAAAACGTTAATTTTCTCTTAAAAAGCGCGCCAATCCTGATGTACCGAATGTGTGATAATTTCAACGGTATAATTGGATGAAGCTCATCTCAGAGTACATGTGGCAAGAAAACTTTCGTCATGTGATGTAGCTACGGATAATACTACTTTCTATTTTTAAATGCTAACCAAAATCTTCCGTCTTTTATCGAACCAATGACTATTTTCAAAAAGCTTATAATTGGACGAAACAATTGTTTGAGATGGCACCTCCTGACTATTTTTTGTAGGATAGTCGTTGAATGTTAGTCTGCAGCTTTTCTCCTGCCGTAGTCCTTAAAAGTACTTATCAACCCTATCGCTTATTTATATCCACTTGTTTTTCGCTTCAAAACGTTTTCTTTTTTATTATCAGTTGCTTCTGTTTATATTATCCAAAGGAAAAAAACAAAAAAATGTTGAACAAGAAAAAATAAGATATGCCTAAATACTAGCTGCTCTAAATGGTGGAAAAAAAAGAAGCACAGGTGTATATTGCACAAAAAAAACAATCACCAGGTAAAACCCATTACGTGTAAACACACACACACACACATACACACACAAACGTAAAAACTAAAATGATAACACCTTTTGTTTTTTTCATACGAAACCAGATGTTTCTCACATCACGATTAAAAATTTGATGTCTAAAATATTTTCACAAAGAAATCTCAAACAAACTGAAAAGAATATCGAGAGTGAGAAAGAGGGCTTGAGTATAAAAACAGAACGAGAAAGTCAGAAAAACTAGTAAAACCGAACTTCTTTATATCAGTTTATCTAAAAACGGTAGACATAGATCACGTGATTTGAGATATATTGCATTTAATGAGCTATAAGGGATTCATCTGCACCCAAAGAGTGTAATACCCAACCGATAGGGGTCTCCTGCAATCCCAGTGATTCGACCGTATTGGCAATTTTATTTTGAAATGTAGCACCACGTACTGCTGCATGAGCAACAATGCCTAAAATACAACGAACAAATGATATAAAGTGTTTAGTCCTTCTCTGTCGTTAGAATTGGAAGATACATCCGACATCTATCTTTTCTTCTTTAAATTGATGATCTTTTAATGGATTGAACGTTTATAGTAATCAAATATTATTTTTAAGAAGTAAATACGACACGACTTACCTGTAATTGGAAGAACAATTCCAAATAGAAATGCAAATATTGTACCGAAAAATTTGATAATAAAAAATGACAATATCAGAATACCAGCCAACATTACCAATGGTCGATTTGCTTTTAACGAGTTTAATGCTCCTCCATGTTTACTTAGATAAACAAAAGCACCCAATACGATTGCTGTTACTAATAAACCGAAGATAATAGCAGCTGGCTTATATAATCTAAACAGAGCAGTAATCATAAGTTCAATAAAATTTCAACTTTAAATACTTACGCTACGAGAATAAATACGGAAGCAAGAACTGCCAAATAATTCGTTTGATAATAAACTAAATTTTGTAAAATTTGTTTTTGGAGTGCATTTAAATTTTGAAAATCTGGTGGAATATTCCACTTGTCGCCACCAATAAATTCTTTCATTGAGCGAAATGGTGCTAGACGAATTGAACGTGATGTAGTATTTTTAACAGCATCTTTAACTGTTCTACGAGTGTCTCTCATTGATGACATGATTTAAACAAGTGTATAGATCTTTGAAATCTAGAATAAAAGAATATTCATTTGAGCCTGAACTGAAAGTAAACCAAATGTTCAGTTGACTTCAACTTAAATGAAATAAAATTTCAACTACACGTAGTAGTCCTTTGAGTTCTTTTTTTAGAAAAAAATGTAGCAATATCAATGAAAGATAGTTTATCCAAAACGAAAGAAGTATAGTCATAACCTAAAAGAACAAGATCAAATATAGACAAAAACTACTTTTGATTCATTGAGCTTTCGATAACCCATTAATTGAACAACCGCTACCAAAACTAGTCATATATTTCATCATTAGCGTTGCTTTTAACATGTCTTTATTCGTTACCGACATTTATTGCACTTTCGACAGATGCAACAAAACTCTGACAAAAGTAATTTAAACTGAGTGACAAGTTTTGCAATGCGCTTCAAAATATTTGTATACTTTAAGTTAGAAATGCATTTTCGACGCTTCCGACTTGTCAGTTATTTAGGATCCAGTTAATGATCACGTATGTGCTTCACTTTATTTGCTAATTCATTCAACAAGTTACGTTTACTGGATGCAATGTGAAGTAGAATTGCTAGAAAAAACAAGAGTAAACGCATATCGAACGACACGATTTTACGTTCATTCAGTCATTAGTCAGCTGTTTGTTACATACTAATCATGATCGCATAATCGTTTGTGCTGAGTAGCTCACATATCCTTTGTTTAAACGCTTCTAATACCTAATAAGAAGTAATATAATGATAGTTTTGATAACAAACGAAATTACGATCTGTCCACGTAATGATCTACTTGTCTTTAAGTCAGTCACATTTTGTCAAGGTTTTAGTTTTTCGAGAGAAGGTTTCACAGAGATTTGAAACGTCTCATTCTGAAGAGCAAACATTTTTCTTTCAAATGATAATGAAGCGAACGTAGATAAGTATGAGTAGATGATAAGATAAACTACTTTGAAACAGGTATCACATCTTGCGACTGGTACATTCTGTTTCAAGCCTATGCGTAGTCGCAACATCATTACGTAGTGGTCGTTCACTCACCATTTGAAAGAAAAATACTTGCTCTTCAAAATGAGACACTTCCAACCTATGTGCCCTTCTCTTGCAAGACTACAATCTTGACAAAATGTGACTGGCTTATGAAAAAGTAAGTAGACCGTTACGTGGACAGATCGATTAATGCAAATATAGATAAGAAATAAATAAAACATTATAATGAAAATATGATGATAAGAAGCGCATAAACAGAATGTACCATTCGCAAGATGTGATATCTGTTTCAAAGTAGTTTATCTTATCATTTACTCATACTTATCTACGTTCGCTTCAACACTAACAGTGACTAAAATCTCCTAAATTCTTGGCATACTCTAACAATAGTTATCAATCAAAAAATTGTTCATATTACGAAAAAATGGAACGTACACCTCTTGCCTGAATCATTAACTTGTAAAATTTCCATTTAACAACACATATAATGATTGGTGAATTATACTGTTAATTTTCTAAAATAAAAAAAAGCAAATTTGTGCAAACTTTCATAATAGGACTTCTCAGCGCAAATAATAGTCCACTGACAATGTTAAAAGAAAAAACGAAAATATAGTAGAGATGCAAGTTAATCGTATTCTCCACCTAATCACTGTCCGTTTATATATATTCAGATATATACAGCAACAAGAAGAAAAACTGAAAGCAAAACAAAAACAAACAAATGAGAGATTCGTCAAACATTAATATAAAAATGAAAAATTATATAGTGATATTTTCATATCACGGTATACATTATAAACAAAATAGATTATGACTACAGATTTTTCAATTTTATCAATAATCTCTCATACACGTTTCTCGTAGCTAGACCGGATGAAACAAAATAATTACGGAGTAATACACGTTCCAGTTTGATTAAAAATTACATTAAACTAAACACAAAAATTACTCAAATGGAAAAAATTGATCTGAATCATTAAATTTTATCAGACTATCATCTCGATCTTTATTTTCAGCAGTTTCGGGAGTTTTTATTTCGAAGTCTAATATTTGTTGATCCACATTTGTTATTGGTTCTTGTTTAATAACAACACCAATTGTTTGTCTTATCGTTTGTGGATCAACAGCATATTCGGGTTTTGTTTCTTTAGTCATATCTGTCAAATGGCTCAATACTTTTTGTGCTATTTCATATTCATTTGGTGGTTGTTGTATTGAATTAGATAAAATATGATTTGTATTCGTTGGTTGACTTAAACGATCATATTGCGCTTGACGAAGTGTAACTAATAATTTAGATGTTTCATCGAGTTTCATATCTATTCCAGCAGCATGTTCACCGTAGGTTGATTCATCCGTCATTTCTTGCTTAACTTCAACTGTTGTCATAGATGAATGGATTCCATCGGATAAATGAAGAGTGTTTGATTCTAAGTTGGAAGCTTCTGATACAGATGCATCTGAAAAGAAACAACATTAAAATCTAAAACGAGCTATTTTTAACGACTTTTCTCACCCGTCGATGTTGTTTGTTCATTGTCTACTACGTTTTTATTCATTTCATCTGACTTCATTTCAGTTTTTAGCGGTTCTTTCTGTTGTCTTTTTTTTAGAACATAGTTTTCATGTTCACCATTTGTTAATACACTCAACAATCGATCAACATAGGCCATTGCTAATTCTCCTGAATCCTTGACGTAATCAAGTAATGAAACGGCATATGCTGCTGAAAATTCACTGCCATATGTATGTATTAATAAATCTAATTCATCTTTTGTTATAGAAGAAAATGATGAATCGTACGATGGAGCATGAGAACTAAACGGTCCATAATCAAGAAAATAACGAGGTGATAAATGGTTACGTTTTTCAACTTCATTGATTATCGTTGATGTACGAGTATAATTTGGTTGTGCGTTAGCAACGATCTGCGTACCATCATTATTTAATTCGCCAATAGTCATTGTTCGACACGTTACGGATGATTCATTATTCATTAAAGATGAAATTCTGTTTATGGGTAGAGCTCCTGAGTTGGTGATGATGTTTGTTGTCGGTGATGAAACTGGATGAGTTGGAGAATTATGATTAAATAACGATTGTTTCGCTATATGTTGCTGTTTTTCTCGTTCACCATCATCCTGATTGATAAAACGCAATGTGGTCGTGCCATTTTCTCGCTGACAAGACAAAGTATATTGACATACTGGATGGCGTAAACTCAATTTTTCTCGTGCACATTGAGCCGCTTGTTGAGCCTAAAATAACCGCAGATAGACTTATAGGACTTTCTAGTCAAAAATTCATTTCTTTTACTATGAACACAGAAGAAATGTAAAGTCATAACGTACTGGGATAGCTGATAACCCCCATGCGTCTCCTAATACTTTAGATCACAGGTAAAACTCCTGTCCCAGTTCACTTACTTGTGCAAGAATTTCTTCCGGCAACAATTCGTCTTCATCTTCATCATTTATTAATGTTGTTAATTTTTCATAGTATTTTGGTAATCGTGTATGCTTATGTTTCCTTTGTGAACATGCGGCTGATATACTAATTGTCGACAAATGGTTACTGGTTACTTGCTGTTCCATATAATCTGCTTCTCCTCCGACATTATTCATATGTTGATCTGTATTCACCAATTGTTGTTCTACAACTGATTCATTCTCTGCCATGGGCATTGTTGTTGTTTGAGAAATATAACAAGATATACTTTCAATTTTAAACCCTAATTCTTTTTCTGTTAAATGTGCAAAACATTCTAAACTCCTTCTAAAACTTAATAATTTATCTTTACTCATTAATTTTGTGCCGACTGTTAATAATTTTTTAGCTGCTTGAAAATAAATTGTTTCCGGACGATTATACGTCATCGCATTTTGACACATTAATTCAAAATCTAGACGAAAATCCATAATAGTTTGATAGTCTTCTTGATGAATTTTTTTCTTTAGTGTTGAAAAGTCCATTGGTCGACGAATAATTTGACTGTAACCGGGTGCCAATTGATCAGTGACTGGAAACTGGAAAAAACCTTCTTTATCTTTTCGTGATAGTATACGATAGATATATTCTAGACAGGCTATTAAATTACTATTATCTTCTACAGCAATGGTAGGCTGTTTTGTTTGTCGTCGCGGACGTTCGGGTGCAAAATCTCGTGTGTTAAAATGTGATTGAGCAAAGGATGAATTACTCATAGAATTATTTGCACCGTGCATAGAATCTTCATCAAATTCACTACCACCTACACCATCGATACTTGAGTCAGCTTGATTGGATAGATCATCATCATTATTAAAACCCATCGCATTATCACCAGTCATTCCTAACGCGGACATCAACTTTCGACGCTTTATACCGCGAATAAACATCTTGAGATCTGGAAGTAAAATAAAAATTCTCAATCTACGAGAAACTAAGAATGTGTAATACCTCTCCGACCACTTGAGTGCTGTAAATAAAACGTAACATTTTATTTTCAACCAACTGCTTAATAAGTAATTTTTGCATAAGAACTTCCTTGTTCCATCACCATAAAAACGGAGATGTCTGCTGGATTTCTTCTATCACCAATCTTCAAGTTATCACTACTTTACCTGATTAATTTTAAGATCTAGTCAACTATCAGCTCTCAAGAAACTGGCATGAAACGACTATTTGTTTAAGTACTCAAATAGTCGGTCGTGCATCAACAGTGAGACAAAAAAATAGCAAAAATCGTGAATGAGTAAAAATACATTCAACGCCTAAGTTCTTCCAATAAAGATGAGATGAGAAAATGAAGTTTAGTAACTGAACTGAACACCTGTTTGTTTTCCGCCATTTCATTTTTCCAACTAAACCTCTGCCAAATCAATGTTTGACGTTGAATAAAATCGGCCAATAATGGATTTAGACTAGACAAAGAATATTTTTTGGAGCGACACTTTTGTACAATGCATAGCGCGACCTGCTGTAGATGGAGGACATGTTTGTGCAAAACAGATTTAATGCATAGGAAGTAATTCTAGCCAAACTTGATACTCATGCGGGAATATGTTCAGTTACTTTAAACAAGCACACGCTTACAGCAACGCTGAGCGTTGTAAATGACAATAGGAATTACCACTATCCGTTTCAAAATAGAAG